TCTCAATACTTTTTATCTGATTGTTTCATGTTGTGTATAGAGATGACTGAAAGACATCGTTATCAGTTTCGTTTTTGTAAAAAATGCATTTTTTGTGCATTTTTTCTTCAATAGTAACTTGTTAACAATGTACTATTTGCTTTAAAATTGTATGAGAACATTCCACTTTAATGAAAGAGTTAAGCAGGTGATTATTTTTGTTCTCGTATCACCTTCTGTCTTCAAAAAATCTTTGCTAATTATGAAAACTCAAATTGCTACTCGATTCTACTATAAAAGTGGAATTTTGACATACAATTTCAGAACTGAACTAATATTTGTTAACAAGTTACGATTGAGGAGAAAATGCACAATAAAATGCGCAAAAAATTGATTATTAATTAGTCATCTCTATAAACACCATGCAATAATCAGATGAAAACAATTTAGAATACCTGTCCAAACAGGCAGTTAAAAAAAGGACATGTAACCTTAAGGACTGTTCGAGGTAAACATTATATTTTCATCATCCATTGTTACAAATGAATGAAATTCTGTGCACTTATGTAATCGTTGAGTGTTCCTGAGCCGAATATGGTATGGAAGATTGGCCATTTGGGGCCTAGCATCAAATTGACAACCGACTCGTAATCTACACATCAGATTTACTCAGGAGATGAACTGTTATCGAGACCGCAGGTACTTTTCAGATTTTGAAAATTTTTCCATAGAAAACCTCAATATATTTATAGAGGAACCTTATACAGAGTTACTAGTAATCTGCCATATGCCTTCCATTTCAAAAACCCTTGCGTATCTGATCTTGTTACCTGGGTAAGTTGAATTCGTAGATTCAGAATCCGATGTTGAATTGACGCTGGCACCCACGGTAGATCCTAAGCGACGTCAAACTTAGACCGACACTTCATGGTTTGCTACACCGACGATAAATAGATATATCGCCTCTGGTTTTCTACCTTATCTTGCTCTTCATATTTCCTACGTATCAAATATGCCCAAATTTCTTTCATGTTAGTTTAGGACCGTTTACTTTGCATGCCTACTGGCAGGGAAGTATTGTAATCGCGAAAATGAGATATCATGTTTTTTTCCATCGGTCGGTCTGTCTGTCTCTCCGTCTGTCTGCTAATCTTATAACCGCCTATAACTTAAGAAGTACCGCTCGGATTTCTATGAATTTTTTACACAACCTTACTACTATACCAAGGACGCAAAAGCTTTGAAGTTTTTGAAAATCGGTCCAGTGGCGGCAGTGAAAAAGGCCTAAAACGTTCAGAGGATACTGATAATTTTTGAAAAAAAATTACGGATAAAAAACTTAGAGGTGTGGAAGGTTTATCTCAACAAACAGACAAACCTATCGGCCGCGACTGCTGGCGTCGTGCGTGTAGTATGCAATCACACGATCACACGTATTTTTGCCGCGCAACAGCATAGTGTTTTCTATGCTGTGCCGCGCTACCACGATGCCACATCTGCCCGAGTTAGATATCGAGAAGAGGGCAGGAAAGAAGAATGTCTGTGGACCAATTCTTTGGATCTGTTTGACTGAGTTTTTTCTCAGAGGGTCTGGCTTGTGCTGAACATATTCCTTTATGCACTGATAAGGACGTTGCGTGGGAAGTGCAGAGTCAACCTACTTAACGCCATTTTTTATATAGTAATGATTTTTATTCAAAATCTAGACTCACATACACCTATATGTACAAATGGAACTTATGTACAAACTCAATCAAGCCACGCGCCTCTATAGAATGCGGTTCCTTTTATCTATAATTTATTGCTCGGACATTACCTTACAGTATCCGCGCTAATACAACGTTGCAGTTTAGTATTTTGGGAGGCCAGAAGGTGAAAGAGGTATGTGCAACTTGGATTGCAGATTTTTGTACTATCCAAAACATTGAAGAAATGCATTCAAATACCCTCCGAAATACTGTATGGTTCCTAAATCCAATTTCAAGTTATTTTTGAAATCACCAGTGCTTTCCATTGCTTTTAGGCAGTTTGTTATATAACTTTGCACACACATAACATGAATTACTTTCAGTTACTGTCAGTCTAGCAAAATATTCATAGGTCGAATGATCGTTTTGTGTGGGAAAATTATTTCTATTTTATACTTCAAACATAACACATTCAAATATATAAAGAGCATAAGCTTTCATCAAACCAATAAACTTGTAAACGCCTCTACATGTTTCATTAAATTTCATATGTCATTGCTACCGAGGCCCTTTTTTAAATGACAAATAATTTTTGCAATTAACCAGGTGCCATCTGTTACCGGGATCGACCACTGCGAGAGTGAAAACAGCAAGCTGTCTGTTGGAACTACATCCCAGTTTAGAGTAGACAGCCTGCTCGGGTATTCGTATCTTGAAAAGTGACATTTTATAGGTTTTTCGTGACATAACGTAGGTTTTTCTACAAGATGTCAACTTAGCACCAGCTGTTGTACACTTGTTGTGAACTAGTTTTATAGCTGTACGTGTTGCCTAAACGTTAAGATGCTTCAGCTATCAATGTTTGGCTCTAATGTGATGTAACATCTGCTTCAGAGATAACATTATTGGAGGTATATGCTGTAAGTTTTATACTATAGCTAGAAGCAAACGGCAATTCTCGGGTGCATAGTGAGGAATTGTGTGTTAATAATCTGTGTCAGTGATAATTCCATTGGTTTCTTGTCTCAAATACCACTTACTTGAGATTTATTTAAAGCTAGAAATTAGTTACGCATCCACTTTTTCTTATTCATTCTGGAAATTACTTATGCTAATTTGCTGAATTTCAAAATAGGGTGGTGATTTTCCGTAATTTTTCTCAAACTTTTTGAAAACACAAAAAACGAAAAAAAATCGTAATTTATAACTAAATAGCATGAAACAGCCGTCCATGGTTGGCTGTCGGTCGAACGAAAGCTTATTCCATAACGTAAAATAGATAAAAAATTTGCACTATATGCTTATTTCATAGCTGAAACCACTGATTTTTAAAGCAGTTTTATTACACAGGTCTACAAAAAAAAATGGTTTGGTGCCACCAATTATATGTTATAATTCGGTTAATTAGCCCGCAAGATATCGTACGAAGCTGTCAAAATCTTGAATCTACGTTCAGGTTTGTATCGATCGATAATAACCTAAAAATGTATTTTCTCATACTTAATGTCATTCTAGTCAATTATTAAATAATTATTTTTTTAATTAATGTTAATATGCCGTCGTCGAGAAGGTGTTTTATAAATAATCCAAATACATTTTGTTACATTTGTGGTGAATATGTAATGACAAAGTTTAGAAAACGTATAACAGATTCAGTGAAGAAGACATACGTTGATTACTTTAATATAGAGATGAAGGCTCTGAACAAACAGTGGGTTCCAAACATTGTGTAAAAGTTGTGTAGTGAACATTAAAGACAGTCGGCAAACAGTAAACGTAATCATTTAAAGTATAGTGTGCCGATGATTTGGACAGAACCGAAAAATCACATTGATGACTGTTATTTTTGTGTTGTAGAATTACATGATATGAACACAAGAAAAATGACATATCCAGACTTACCGTCTCCTAAAAGACCTCGACTGTGTTCAGATGACGTAGCATCTCCTATGGTGGTGGAAGTTTTTTCTGATGAACGTGACAATGATTTTGAAGTGTCAACAGCGCATTCACTTTTTTCTCAAGATGCTTCATGTGATTTGATTAGAGACTTTGACCTTTCGAAAGAGCGATCTGAGCTACTTGCATCTAGTCTCAAAGAAAGAAATTTGTTATCTCAAGATACAAAAGTAACATTTTATCGTGATCGCGAAAAATAATTTCTTCTATTTTTTAGCTCGGAAAATGATATAGTTTATTGTAATAACATTGGTGGCCTTCTAAAGAAACTGGGTCTATCAAGGTGCAAAGCTGAAGAATGAAGATTGTTTATGGACAGCTGTAAGCGAAGTTTAAAGTGTGTTTCACTAGATATTGGTAATAATAAACATCCAGCTGTGCCTGTTGCTCATTCAACGAAATTAAAATATGAGTATCAAAATGTGGATCTTGTTTTAAAAAAACTTAAGTACTCGGAGCACCAATGGGTTATATGTCGATTTAAAAACGGTTAACTTTGTATTGGGTCACTAATACATGTCCATGCTTCATATGTTTATGGGACAGTAGAGCAAAAAAAGACCACTGGATCAAGAAAGATTGGCCTGTGAGAAATAACATGACGGTTGGCAAACAAAATATAAACCCGCCTTTAGTTTCTAGAGATAAGATTATTTTGCCTCCGTTGCACATCAAATTGGGACTTAGGAAGCAATATGTTAAGGCATTTGATAAAACTGGTCCGTGTTTTGTAATCTTTCAAGGAAGTTTCCCAGTTTAAGTAATGAAAAACTAAAAGCTGGTATTTTTGATGGCCGGCAGATGAGACTTTTATTGAAAGGCGATTTCATACATTCAATTAATAATTTAGGCTTGGAAATCTTTTGTTGCTGTTGTAAAATATTCTTTAGGAAATCAGAAGGGCGAAAAGTTCATTCAAAACCTCTTAATTAGCTTTAAAAATCTTGGATGTAATATGAGCATAAAGCTATCTGGACAATCATTTAGACAAGTTTCCTGAAAATCTTGGAGCGTATAGCGAAGAACAAGGAGAACGTTTCCATCAAGATTTAAAGGTGATCGAAGATAGATGCCAAGGTCGCTGGGATAAGCATATGATGACAGATTACTGTTGGAGTATTACACGCGAATGTCCTGAAGACATCCATTGGAGAAAATCTAAAAAGAGAAGCTTCTAACCTGTAAAATAATGTGTAATCAAATGTTTTGAATGAAATGTTCTTTTGTTTTTTAATAAATTACGAGTAATTAAATGCTTTGTAATTTATTTACCCTTGCGAAAACCCGAAAACTACAAGTAGGATTAAAAAAAGTAAATACAGGTTTTTATCAGGGTACCGAATGTACTTGAACTCATTTTTACTTTTAGCGACACCAAAATCATTGTAGACCTGTGTTATGTGTGGAGTTCGGAGAAATTCATCTAAATATATTCTCAACACCTTAGTTTATTGACTAACTTGGGTGTTACTTTCAGAATATGTCAGATTTTACGGTATATAAACTTGTGATTGTTTAGTTCCAAATATTATTGAATCAGTTTTACCTCTGAAGTATTAAGTTAATCAGCTTAACACCACTGTAAACATGTTCGAGTGCGAATAATATAATTCTAATTACTCATAATCTGTTTTGGCAAAACGCAGTTATCTTTATAGCCAACATTTTATCCAAAAACCATGGACTATCTGACACAACTCTGTATCTCGCAACCTGCTAATTGTTTTCTCGATTAGCATTCCGTTAAATTTCGTTTGATTAGAACACTGTGGATTTCTGTCGCGTATTTATCTAGCTTATCTTATCAAAATGCGCGCATAGGTGAATTCAAGCAAGTGATGTAGTTTCATCCGTGAAAAAGTATAAACGGTGAATCTGATATCGGTAGTGAAATGGAATTCAAACCGCCTAAAGAGCGGAAAACTAGAGGTCTTGGATTGTCTTTCAGGAGGAAGAAAGTACCTACAGAGGTGAGTGAATCGAAAATGTTACTTATGGATCACGAGATACCGAGGGATTCAGTTTTCGCATTAGTTCCAAACACCTATAACCAAAAGCACTCTAGATGTCCAAATTACTGTGTTTGAATGTATGTACGGTATCAGGCCTTTCATGGAAGGCTTTTAGATCCACACTAACCATAAACAATTCTCAATCAATTTGTTACATACCGAAACATACGCGAATAGGGGAGATATCAATCGATTCTTTTTAATAATGGATTTCTGATAGTTCATATAGGTACTTTACGTTCAGTATATGACAGCAGGGTTATTACGTAAAAGACATATATAATGTCAAAAAAATCGCGCATACTGTGAATGTCAGTTAGTTCAAAGGTGATATTTTATACGAAAACCTATATCATGTTAAAAAACCTACATACTGTCATAAAAAAATTCGATATAATGTCACTTTTACTTCCTGTGGCAAAACTGGCGAGTATTGTATTCGCGAAAAATTTCGAAATTGAGATATGTTTTCTGGATGTTATATGACATGTACCTACATCACGAAAAACTATGTCACTCATTTCCGTCGGTCCGTATATCTGTCGGACTGTCCGCTAATTTTATAACCCTATAACTTGAGAAGTACCGCTCGGATTTTAATAAAATTCTCACACAAGGTTACTACTATGCCAAAAGTGAAAAAGCTTTGTAGATTTTGAAAATCGGTCTAGTTGTGGCGGAGCTGGGGTCAAAAACACGAAATAAATATAAAACCGGTTAAACTTCGCTTTTTCAGAAGAATTTTTTTGTAGAGGTTGAAACTTGGGGGTTGTAGACCTTCTATCATTAAGAAACTTATGATCCCGGTAACAACGGGGAATTAAATTAAATGATAAAAGTCCGATGTATAATGTGCTCCTAATTCGAAATAACTTTGCAATCGTCGGCGTTGCGTGCACAGCGATGCTGCATCGTCGTGGAGGTCACTGCGGACTGTGCAAACAAACTCCATCTGGTCTGCGATGGTGTCGTCACTGACACACCGCTACAGGAGAAATATATATTTTAGCAATATTTGGATATTAGGAGTACGTATAACTTTAGCGCCTGCGATGCTTTTGTAAATGATGATTTAACTGTTTTTATATCTACACAAATATTTTTCTGAATCTTATGATCCTTAAAGACCTATTTCGTCTAACCTTTAATTTGTGTTACACCGTCTATTATGGTTCTCGGACTGACAAACCGACATACATAAATGAGAAACACGGACTTGTGTGATGCAACAGCAACTTGTGAACCGAAGTTCGAATATTATCGTGAGGTAATTCTCTCCATCGGTTAGGCAGTTTAATTTGCTACTTACTATAGGCTGATATTTTTTGTACGTTATTCGAATAAATAAGGGATACAAAATTCATCGCTGGCCGCAAGATAAAACAACGCGAAAATTACTCGCATTCACACATTGGAACCAAGTGTTACCCTACGTTTGTGCGTTTACCCAATATGTGAATACGACATTACGAAAGATAAAAAAACATTTATGACCTAAATTCGACAAAAATTCGGTCGCCCCACAAGCTTATACCTAAGGCAAATCATCCCAAATCCACGATTGAAAAAACCAGTCTCGGTTGGTCATTGAAAAAATGACGTGAGTCATCTTTTTTTTTTCGTCACGTTTAATATTCATTGGAAAATGTGAATATTAATTTTTATGTCTGTTACTCGGATTGTATGGTAAAGGTTGTTACTGTGGATATTGAAGTTTGCCGCATTTGCACCTGATTGTAAGCAATCACAGGGTAATTTGCAATTATAAATGGAATCTTCAAATTTATCGCTAAAGATTTTTGTGGGGCATTTTGAAAAATGCCTAAACTTCGTTTTCACCTTTCTGGTTACGCTACATATTTGACGTTTGTAAACATGTAATTAGATAATATAATTACTCGCTTCAAATAAATTATTATGCAGCTTTTTGATGGAATATTTATCTTCTGATGACATGATCACTGGGATAGTTGGATATAAAAAATATGTTAAAGTAGGTGTAGGGTAAATACAAAATAACGGATGAGAATATAACCTCGTGGTAAGTGCACAGTCAGTCTTCTCGACTTCAATTTTGTCATTCGTCTTGAAATTGCTGAATACCTTTCACACACCATCACAGTGTCAATATCTTATGAAACGACATTAACATAGGCAACTTCAACATAAAGACATTTTTTATTTCTTATGGTGCAAAAAGTGCAGCTTGTTCTATATTTAAACTCTGATACAATTCAATGTACTTATTTGGAAACTATAGTTCATCAACAAGGCTCCTTGCCATGAGTTATTCTTGAAAAACTATGAAACTAGATGGATTGAGTTCAAGTGTATATTTACGGATATCAATCTGTCTTTGACTAACCTTGAACACCGTTTTTGATGTGGGAGGTCGTTCACATAATATATCAGATGTATAATATCTTCTCAATGTAGAATAGTCATTAGAGGATAGTACAAATACATGAGTGTGCGAATACATATACGAGGGAAGAACATAAAAATCCTCAAAATATGATACTTTGTAGAGTAAAATTTCTATTTTCGTCATATTTTATCAGAGCGGTCTGTAGGACCTTAGCCCTGTAAGAGTTCGTAAATCTGTCAGGTCTAGTAACTCCGAATCTATAAAATGTTGAGGAAAAAGAGAAAAGGAGAAGAACGAAGAAATGTAGAGAGCAAAGAGAAGAAGAGAGCATTTAGGTATTTTAAAAATCACTAGACAAATTTTATGTGGTTCTAAAAAATAGTTTTTTTGTGGGCGTTTTGTCAAAATGCTGCAATTTTGCTTTTACAGTGCGAGCAGCAGCCTTTTGTGCCCACAAACTTACTCGACTGTATAGTTTACTGATTAGCGACGTATATCTAACAAGCCATGAAGTACGAAACTTACCAACCTTGTGGTAGTTCAATTATTGGTCTACCGGTATTATTGCATTTTACTTGTAATTCACTTATTTTTAAGCGGTGTAAGGCCTTGGTTGTGCTAAGTATCAGTGTTTTTCTGAAAAACAATAATTTTGATCGCGCAAAGTGAAGATATAGGTGGCTTGGCTATTACTATGCTACGCCTGTTGTACAATGTGGGCTCTTGTAAGGGATATTAATATGCGAAGGGTTTCGTTAGAGCCATACCAAGGGGCGTCAGTAATGATGCGCAACGTCTTGCTTTGCAGAACCTGCAGATTTCGCATGTGCGTTTTTGGCAATAAAACACCAAGCGACAGAAGCGTAAGTAGTCACTAGTCTTATTGTCATTTCATAGAGCAGAATTTTAGCGATCAAACTCATTTTTGAACGTGCGCGTAATAATGGGTACAGCTGCCGAAACATAATTTGGATCTATCAAAAAAGTTCGCATGTTTTCAAAAAACTCGTGTGTAGAGATTTTTTGAAAACGTATTTTTTTGGCCAAAGGCCGAATATGACGGAAACCCGTGTCGAAGCGTTGCTCGGACACTAAAAATAGGCCGCTTGGGACCCGCTTAAGGTCTAGCATCACAGTTACGTAGTATTTTTTGATAATTGTCTCATATGAAACTTCAAAAAAATATGGATTATAGTACTTTAAAGGTCAAAATTTGTAATTTCGTCTTCCGTTATTACTTAGATAGTTTTTAGTACGTTAAATTCGAACTTCGTAAAAAGACATGAAGAGTCAAGTTAAGGTAGAGATTGGAAAATGAGTATCTTAGGGTTTTAGTATTGAATTACTTTAAAATGCGAGGACTCTGGCTGGAGCTGAATTCACTTCTTGGCTTAAGCTGTTGGTGTTTAGCCTCTTTCAAAACTTATTTTAATTTGCAATGCATAAATTTCAGAGCTAAATTATTTTCCAATGATACACTTGATAGCTCTCATTACCAATTACCTACATATAATTATACCTGCGCGAGTGCATTCTATGACGTAATTGATTGCCTAGCAATGCACCGAAAGCGGTAAATGAAACGAAAGCGAGCGGCGCATTTTGTGACACTTTCTGTTTATTTATATGTGTTTTTCGTCCAATACGCGATAGGTTGATGACAGGCTATAAAGGCGGGTTTACACGCTACGTCTTATTGTACGTTCTGTGGGGCAGGACAAATCCTATCCAATAAAACTTGGCGTGTAAATAGCAAAATGTACGTCTTGTCGTATCGAAATTAAATCCAAGGTCAGATTGAAAAACTGATGGGAGAAGCATCATTTTGCGAGAACTGATAGGACAAAACGAAACGTGTATACTCATGTTCAGACAAGACGTCCGATCTTGGCTCAGCTCACGAGTAGCTCCACTTCATTTCTCCCTAAAAAATCTAATAATCTCATACTTGCGGCAATGCACCCACGATTTTCTCAGGGAATTCGTATAAGTTTTCCGTGTTTATGGCAAGTGAAAAATAAAGACTATAGTGACCGAGGATCTTATAAAAAAATACCAAGAAATAGACCCGATGGCAAATAAAGAGACTTACAAAAAAAATAATAAACTCGTTGAGATCTGTTTACAAAATAGAGCTGAAAAAAGGGAGAGCATCAGAAATCTCTGTTACTAACTCAAGCAATTGACAATATGCTGAGGCGTCCATTCGCAAATAATTCGCTCCTCTGTTGGTTCAATAATCAGACGTGGGAATACTGGCTTCTTTTCAGAAGCCACTTCCTTGACCATCTTGTCTTTTCCCTCTTCATCTCTCGGTCGTTGTATCCTTATAGTTGAAAAAATAAAAGAAAGCAGCCGTGTTTTCTCCAAGCGGAAGAGAAAACACGTAGTGTGTATACAGTGGAAAAAACGTACGTTTTGTCGTACGTTTTGTATGTCCGACAAAACGTACAATAAGACGTGGCGTGTAAACCCGCCTTAAAGCTGCCATTACACTATACGTGTTCATAACACAGACCTCCAATAAAAAATAAAGGGGATCCGTAAGACATACTATGATATTCTAATGTATTTTTTCAGATGCGAGATG